GAATTTATACTCGTGTGTGTGTGTGCACGTGTATGGGTCTAGGGACAACATACATATTCTCTGATTTTTTTTTTTTTTTGAGTTGGAATCTCACTCCATCGCCCAGGTTGGAGCGCACACTCATGGCCACCCCATTGTCGACCTGCTGGGCTCCAGTGATCCTTCTGCCTCAGCCTTTCAAGTAGCTAGAACTACAAGTGTGCGCTACCACACCCAGCTAATTTTTTACTTTTTATTATTTATTGTGGAGATGAGGTTTCGCCAAGTTACCTGGGCTGGTCTCAAACCCGCGGGCTCAGGCAGTCCACTTGCCTCGGCCTCCCAAAGTGCTGGGAGTACAGGCTGAGGGACCGAGCCCGGCCCTGATTTTTTTCCCCCGCAAATTGTACTGATTTTCAATAGGTAGCTCTTGGACATTGTCAAAGAGGGGAAAGGGACAGAAGGTGAACAATGATAGTCCAAGCCAGGTTTCTGAAGGCAGAGTTGTTGTGTCAATTCCAAACTCCTTTCACAGTTAGAATTCCAGTCTTAAGTTACACTGATGCTTGGAGGGAATGTGTTCAGCCTTTCCACTTGAATAGAACGGTGTGTTTCACACGTGCGTGGTTGGCCAGGTCCTTCCCTAGGCCAGGTGGCAGGGAGATGATTTCAGGGTGCATTGGGGCCCCTTCTGACCCTCCCTCTTCGGTCACTGCCCCCACTCTGGTTCGTCCCTATTTTTCAAGTGACTTTTTGATCCCATTTAGGCTGGCTAGTCCCTCAAGTGCTTGAGCTTTGTGTTTCTGGTACTAATGTCTTTTATTCAAACTCAAAGTTAGATTATACTATGCCATTCAAGTAAAGTAGTCAAAGAAAAACATTCAGACAAAGGTATAGATGGGCTTTTCCCTTTCAGGTCGCCCCCCCCCTCCACATGTGCATGGTAAATTGTCATTGTGACATGGAATTCCTATCCTGCTGTTTTTTCACTTAGCACTATATTGCAGGGTTTTTTCCATTTTGCTCCATGATCTTATTATTTTTAATAATTGCATAGTAGTTCATTGAGTGGATGTACTCTGCCTTTCCAAGTCGTTCCCATATTATTAGGCATCACATTGTTTCCATGGTTTCTACTGTTCTAAGTGACTTTGCAATGGGCGGTTTCCTTTGTGGGGACTGTCTCTTCTTTTGAATTGTTTCCTTATAATACATTTTCAGAAGTGAAATGACAGGGCTAAGTGGGGTCTCAGCTTCCACATGGCTCCCAACACTGCCGCTTGCTGCTGTTTGTGAAGCGTGTGTACCAGAACATAGCTCTGTCCGCCACGGGTCAGGAACCGGGGGTTATCATGAAGCATCAGCCTTCCTTTGCCGTATTTCACGTTGAAATATGATCATATCTCTACTTAAAAATAAGATGACAGGCCGGGTGCAGTGGCTCAGCCTGTAATCCCAGTACTTAGGGAGGCCAAGGCAAGAGGATTGCCTGAGCCCAGAGGTTCGAGACCAGACCTCATCTCTACAATATCACAAGAAAACACAAACAAACAAACCTCGCTGTGTATGGTGGCATGCATCTGTAGTTCCAGCTACTTGGAAGTCTGAGGCAGAAGGATCACCTAAGCCCAGCAGGTTGAGGCTGCGGTGGCCATGAGTGTGCCACTACACTTCAGACTGGGTGAAAAGAGTGAGACTCCAGCTCAAAAAAACAAAAATAAGACAACTAAAGCTTGGGTACAAGTACTTGTCCCATTTTTTTCTGACAGATTCGACTGTCGCTTTGAATCTCAAATGAGCTGATGTTTTCAGCTCATATAAGTTGGAGTTTGTCTGCCGTTGGACAGGAGGATTCTTGGCCTGCTGTATAGGCTAACATTTTGTTTGAAAAAAGATGAGCCGTTTCAGCCAGTAGCTTTTGGAATGACTGTTCAGGTGCAAGAATACCATTCAAAGTGTTATGGCTTCTCTAATGTGCCTTATTTGAAGAAGGGCCGGTGAGCCTTCTCAGTGACCAGGGTAGCAAGAGTGTCTTATCCTTAGGCAGTCTTGACTATTCTCAGACACTGTTACAAGGGCTTTACCTATATGAAGCAGTTGAATTCTTGCAACAACTTTATTCCACTTATAGATGAGGAAACCGAGTCACAGAAAGTTTTACTTCAGGCCTTCCAGCATACTGCTTTTCACTGCTTTGCTGGATCCTCCTGCTTCAGTGGGCTCTTCTCCTGAATAGGCCAGATGATCACCTCTCCTTGGTTGGGGGTGCCTCTGGTTTTGCACACCCTTCTCTTGCCAATAACAACAGTTTCTCTTGATGGAATGTTTAACATGGCAAGGCATCATGTTGACGCTTTAACAAACATTAGCTCATTTAATTGTCACAGCCATACCTGAGGTGTAGGCAGTGTGAGGAACAGTGAGTGAAGGGCTTAGGGAGGTAACTTTAAAGCCAAGTGTATCCCCGCCCTGCAGGCTGCCTCGGTCCTTGCTTGGGAGTTGCCCTTGTCCTCTGCAGTTCTTTCTTTTTATCTGTCTTGCTTGTTTGCCTGCTTGCTATCCTTCTCTCGCTCTCCTTTCTCGCTCTTTCTCTCCTCCCTTCCTTCTTTCCCATCCTGTCTTTCCTTTCCACAGGGTCTCACTCTGTCATTCAGGCTGGAGTGCAGTGGTGTGATCATAGCTTACTGCAACCTTGAACTCCTGGGCTCAATAAATTACTGCCTCTGCCTCCCAAGTACCTGGGATGACAGACGCACACCACCACACCCAGCTAATTTTTTATTTTTATTTTTTGTAGAGATGAGGTCTTGTTATGTTGTCCAGGTTCCTCTGGAACTCCTGGCCTGAAGCGATCCTCCTGCCCCAGTCTGGGCCGATCCAGGCACTCTTTCCATTTCAGAAAATAGCACTTGTTTTGGTGAAGTCAGATTTAGGAATAGGTAGAGCAATGCAAAGTTGGAGGGAAGGAACATAGATCATTGCGAGGAAACTCTGTCTTCTAATTGTATGACAGTTTCTTTCTAAAACAAACAATTATCTTGTAATTGAATAGCACCCTTTTGTTTATTTCTTTGAGGGCTAAATCTAGGTCCACACTGAATTTGCTTATTGTGAAGGTTCTGGACTTAAGGGCTAAAGTTAATCACCATGTTTATAAGTACAACCAAGTCTGTGGCGTTCCGTTTGCTTTGACAGGATTATTTCAGCTATTTCAAAATTTTCGCAAGACTCCATTTCAAACTAATCTCAATGACTTTGTGAAATTTGCTTTTCTGTGCCCCCAAAGTCTTAAGAGGTTAAGTCTTTACATTTGTGCTATTAAATAAAAAATTGGATGTGGGGCTTCTGCTATTGCTGGGTTTCCACGACCCTTCATTTCTGCCTGCAAAGGGAAGGCGTGATGACCTCTGGATAGTTGGGTCTGGCTGGTGTAGTTGGGAGGAGGTCTGGACGGGTCATGTGTCGGGACTAGCCCTGGTGGGCTTGCTTTCTTGAAGCCCCGCCTTCCAGCTTCATGCAGTTATTGTGGGGGTCTGAGAGCAAACCTCCCCTTGTTGGAAAGGGGAGTAGAGTGGGGCCCCATTTCCTTCCAGGCTGGGAGCTCAGCACACTTTATTTCCGCCTGTGTCTGGTGCCATGTGACATCACGGTGGTCAGATAAATGGCTGTTCAAAGGATTTGATAGGATTATGTATGTGGAAAAGAAATTCTTTGAAAAGTACAAAATGTTCTGCCTCTGTCAAATAACAAATATCCAGGAATTTATGGAATAGAACCCTGAACGCTTTGAGGGGAAAAAGGGGCTTCTGAGCTTTTAGAAGGAAAAAAATGAATAAAAAGTGCGTGATTATGGCTAGATTTTTATTTTTTTTATTTTTATTTTTTTTTGAGTTGGAGTCTCACTCTGTTGCCCAGATTGGAGTGCAGTGGCCACTCCCGGCTACTGCAACCTCGACCTGCTGGGCTCTGGCGATCCTTCCGCCTCAGCCTTCCAAGTAGCCAGAATTACAGGTGTGCACTACCATGCTCGGCTAAATTTTTGGTTTATTGCAGAGATGAGGTCTCGCTGCCCAGGCGGGTCTCGAACCTGCGGGCTCAGGCAATCCACTCACCTCAGCCTCCCAAAGGCGCGGGATTACAGGCTGAGCCACCGAGCCCAGCTATGGCTAGATTTTTAAATAAGTCTTTCAAAGGAAACTTTCTTCATGCTGTAGTCTAAACAGAGTTAGGTTATTTTGGTTTGTTGTGTACTTTTTCTATTTGGCCTTTCTCCTTTGCATGAAAGGAATGAATGAAACAGAGGAGAGGTGAACTTACGCTTCAGGAAGTCATTGTGACTGTCATGACAGATAGGAGGCTAGCACTTTCTTTATAATGTGGTCTGCTTCAAACATGGCCTGTTCTTGTAAAGAGTTAAGGTAACGGAGGTAGATATTAAAACCTGTATGTGCATGAGTTTATTTTCCATGAAGTCAGTGCTCAAAAATTTCATTTATCAGGGAATGTTGAACTGTGTAGTTTTGCATTTTAGACTGTGACATAACCGCTAAGCCCTGTAGCTGGCTATGTTGTGTGCGTGCATGTGTGTGCGTGTGCGTGTGTATGTGTGCAGTGCTCTGCATTTTCTCTTACGAAACGAGATTGCATATGCATCATTAAGGCCTGTTTACCTCCGCGGCGTGGTTTGTCTCACTGTCAGAGATCTTGGAGTTTGTGGCACTTTTCACAAGTAGGATTCCTCCAGTTTCCCTTCCCTTTGTCCAGCTCTGCATCTTGCTAAGGGTTATGTCATGAGTTCTAAAGTTTCTGAGAACCAGGGTCAGATCCGTGGCTCTGGACAACACAGCAAAAAGCTCCCGCTTGTTGGGGGCAAGGGATAGTCATGCCGACTTCATTTTTTTTTCTCCCTGGGCACTCCTGGGAGCAGCTCCGGCCCTGTTGCCCTGACCATCTCATATGCCCTCTTGTGTTTGGCAGGACTGTAACCGCCTTTCCTTCTCTGTGTCCCTCTCTCCTGCCAGGCGGGTGCCCCGGTGATGTCTGGCGCGGGAGAGAGCACTAATCCCGAGAACAGCGAGCTCAAATATTCAGGTCAAGATGGGCTCTACATAGGCGTCAGTCTGGCCTCTCCGGCCGAAGTCACATCCTCAGTGCGGCAGGATTCCTGGTGTGCCCTGGCCCTGGCCTGAGCCGACGCTGCCAGGAGGCAGGGAGGCCTCCGCCGTGGGCCTCGATCTGCTTGTGTATGATTTTGTCCGGCAGTTCAGACGGTGGCCACTGTGCTGACAGGACGTGATTTCCGTGCCTTTGTTTCGAAAGAGACGTATCTTCCAAGAGGCTTGCTGAAGAGTAAGAGAAGATGGAGGGGAAGGGCCAGTGACAACTGAGCATGTCGCCTCCTCCCTCCGGCCGGGGCCACCTCCAGCCAGCCTGCCTCTGCAGAGGCCCCTGTGCTACTTCCAGGAGCCGAGACTCGGACCAGGGCCTTGCCTGCTAAGGAAAATAGTGAGAGATTTTAAAAAAAAAGATGTTATGTGTGTTGCCCCAAATCATGTGCTTCTTCTGATCAATTTTGGTTGTTCCAGAAATTTCTTCATACTTTTTCCACATCCAGATTTTACACACGCTCATGGAGAAGATCATTTGAGGCCGTTTGGTACACATCTCCGGAGGCTGAGTCGGGTCATGAGGTCTCTTGTCAAAAATATTCCTCAGTTTGCAAGACTGCATTATAACTTTGACGTACACTGTGACTGATGTTTCTCAAAAGTTCATATTGTGTGGCTGATCTGAAGTCAGTCAGAATTTGTAAACAGGGTAGCAAACAAGATATTTTTCTTCCATGTACACAATAATTTTTTTAAAAAGTGCAATTTGCGTTGCAGCAATCAGTGTTAAATCATTTGCATAAGATTTAACAGCATTTTTTATAATGAATGTAAACATTTTAACTTAATGGTACTTAAAATAATTTAAAAGAAAAATGTTAACTTAGACATTCTTATGCTTCTTTTACAACTGCATCCCATTTCTATATTTCCAATTGTTAAAAGAAAAATATTTCAAGAACAAATCTTCTCTCAGGAAAATTGCCTTTCTTCATATGTTAAGAATTTTTATACAAGAACACCAGTATGCCCCCTTTATTTTACTGTGGAATATGTGCTGGAAAAATTGCAACAAAACTTTACTACCTAACGGATAGCATTTGTAAATACTCTAGGTGTCTGTAAACACTTTGAAGTCTGTACAGTGTGACTAACCCACAGGCTGGTTGGTTTACATTAATTTTTTTAAAAAATGGGATGTCATATGGAAACCTATTTCACCAGAGTTTTAAAAATAAAAAGGGTATTGTTTTGTCTTCTGTATAGTGAGTTTCTTCACTTTTAGATCATTTTGATGCTGTATGTGCTGTAGATATTCATATAAAACAAGTGCATGTGAAGTTCACAAAATGCTTTAAAACCTTCCTTTCAAAGCATAGTCCTTTGTGAGTTGTTTTATACTTGGTTTATGTGAAGCTGGTGCATGAAGTTAGTTGTCACTTTTCATTTGCATTGGAAATAATTTCTATAAGCGAAAAGGACCCAGTATCCCATGACGTTATCTCTGAGGTTAGAAGCATTCCTTTTAGGGAGTCAGTGCTTTAAGACATTTCAGAAAGTTCAGATTTTTCCTTTGCAAAGTGCCATGAAGACTCAAAGCTCACCTGAGGCTTGCAGATCTTTCACTTGCCAGCAGATATGTAGAAATGATTTGAACAGCTTGTCGTTATTTTTTCGTTGTTGAGTGGATGTCAGGAAATCAGGATACTTGTTCCACAACAAAAAATTGTGGCATTTAACTTGAGCTCCCGCAGCATGCAGCATTCCCTCCTCCCACCCCTTTTCATGTACTTATTACAGCCATTCTATGGAGTTCAGTCTGAATCTTTCAAGAGAAGAAGCATCTTCCTTAGTGGCGGGGGAGGTACCTCTCTATGAATGGGTGATGTTATTCAACTCTCATTTTCCTAATATGTAAACTAAGGTGAATAGCATCTACATCGCCGGATTAAGAGAATCCATGCAGAGTGCCTAGCAACAGTGCCTGGCACATAGTAAGCATTACGTGTTAACTTGGCTTTGAAAGAGGGTGGCATGAGCTCTCACAACATAGATGCATTGTATCATGTCTGACTCCCTGGAGTGGCAAAAGGTCTGAGAGTCTGCTGTCCCTTTTTGGTTATTTGCGCTTCCCGAACAAGGCTGAGGAGAATGAAGTGACGGACTCCCCTAATCCAGAGGTAGCAGAGATGGGGGAGGACGCGTGAGAGGTACCAGCCTGACTTCCGCTGATTGTTAAACAGCACCGGGCTGCTGAGAAGCAGAAAATTATTGTCTGCACCAACCTGACTTTTTGCCTCGCCCTCTTATGGTTCTTTTTGCCTTGCCTCTTGTTTTTTTTTTTGAGTTGGAGTCTCACTCTGTCGCCCAGACTGGAGTGCAGTAGCCGCTCCCGGCCACCGCAGCCTCGACCTGCTGGGCTCCGGCGATTCTTCCACCTCAGCCTTCCGAGTAGCCGGAACTACAGGCGCGCACTACCACGCCCGGCTGATTTTTGATTTATTGTAGAGATGAGGTCTCACTGCCCAGGTGGGTCTCGAACCCGCAGGCTCAGGCAATCCACTCAACTCAGCCTCCCAAAGGCGCGGGATTACAGACTGAGCCACCAAGCCCGGCTTGCCTTGCCTCTTTTGGTTCTCTTTACTCTGAGTGCTGCCTGATGGGTTGAGAGTTGTTAACGCTAAGATGATTTGATTGGAAAATGAAATTTTCTTATGGGGGCTTCCAAATGATCTCTTTTCTCAGGATGGTCTCACATATTGCTCCTTTGGATCCTAAAATGTCACGAGGTTGCCAAAGCCCCCTTCCCCTTCTTTTTTTTGGGGGGGGACCCAAAGTGGAAAGAATTTTACTTTTCATGAAATTGATTCTAATGGGAGGGGGCTTAGCCTGTTCTTACACAACAAGCTCCACTCATCTGGGCCTTTTTTTTTTCTTTTTCTTATTTATTTATTTATATTTTTATTGTGAAGATGAGGTGTCACCAAGTTGCCCGGGCTGGTCTTGAACCCGGGTTCAGGGGATCCTCTCACCTCGGCCTCCCAAGTGCTGGGATTGTAGGCATGAGTCACCGCGTACGGCCCATCCGGGCCTCTTTTAAATGACTGCTTTCCGATCTATGATTGGAAAGCAGAAGTTTGATGATTTGCTTCAAATACATTCTCAGCAGCACTCCCCCACAGTATGACCTAGAAAAACAAACACAACCAAGTTGCTTCCCAGTAAGGGATGCGTTTATATGGATTCTGCTCCTTGGCCTAAGGACTCTTCTATCAGCCCGGGTTGTGGGATTTATGTCCTCTGTCACCCAGGGCTGATCTTTAGGCCATCTTCCATAAGTGAAGGCCCTGTCTGGGGTCTCTTTTCAGGGTCACTTAATGTTATTTCCTGGTGCCCATGGGAGGGTCAGGAAAGCAAAGGGAACCATTCATTTCCCCGTGCAAATAAATTCGCTTCTCGCTCATGGGAAATGTTTTCCCCAGTCCTTGGAAATTTGATGTCATTTCAGATTGGAGATAAATTGGCTCCTGGGAGGGCCACAGGCGAGTCTCCAGTGGGCCGTACCAGACTCCAGACTGCTTTCAGCTGGGGGCAGTGCGGTGACTTTGATGTGCTAAGTTCTCTTGCTGTGCCAGTGTTGTCCAGGGGTCTGGGTCCCTGTGACTCTGAGGAGGAAATAATCGGGGTGTATGGGAGCACCCAGAGAGCAAAACTTTACGCGGATCTGGGCAGCACTGACTGATTGAAATGCATTTTTGCTTCTCAGTTGAGATACTAGCAAATCAGTGTGGCCATACTAGTTATCTTCTGTTGCTTGTGAGCTCTAATTGGCAGTCAGGTATGATTTTGATTATTTGATTAATATTTTTTACTTTTTTGAGATAGGGCCTCACTTTCACCCAGGCTGGAGTGCAGTGACATGATCTCAGCTCACTGCAGTCTCCTGAATTCATGTGAATCTCCCATCTCAGCTTCCCAAGTTGCTAGAACTACAGGCATGCACCACCATGCCTAGATAATTTTTTTAAAAAAATTAGATCTATAGAAATGGGGTTTCACTATGCTGCCCTGGCTAGTCTTGAATGCTTGGGTTTAGGATTATAGATATGAGTCACCCAATCCAGCTGACTTTGATTCTTTTAAATGGAAAACAAATATGGATATATTTGCTAGACCAAATCTTTCAAAACAGGGTCCGTTGGTAAAAATAGGGCAGGTCGAGTGCAGGGGCTCATGCCTGTAATCCAAGCATTTTGGGAGGCAGAGGCGAGAGGATTGCCTGAGTCCAGGGGTTGGAGATCAGCCTCGGAAACTTGACCTCATCTCTACAATAAATCAAAAAATTAGCTGGGTGTGGTGGTATGTGCTTGTAGTTCCACCTACTTGAAAGGCTGAGGTGGAAGGATTGCCTGAGCCCAGCAGGTCGAGGCTGCGGTGAACCATGATTGTGGAACTGCACTCCAGTCTGGGCAACAGAGTGAAACTCTGACTCAAAAGAAAAAAATGTCACCTACAGTTCTGTTCATCTTGGGATGAACTCTTTGTGGCTGACCCTTTGGTGCCTGGATTCCAGGCAGGTCACTTTGCTTGTGATCTTTGGGTGGGGGCAAGGTCAGGCACAAGGAGGTGCTAGACATCTGCAGGACCTGCAGAAGAGAGGAAATGGGGTATTTTCAGTTGATTCAACTGTAAGATAGAGGTAGGCTGAAAGCCTAAGTGAGTTCATAGGGACTTTGGGTAAATAAATTATTGTTGATAGTTCCAAATAGCTTCTAAAGGAAAGTTAGGACACTGCTAGTGCGTTGAGCTTCTGAGACTCCTGTCGGAATGAGCACCTTGGCTTCCCCAGGGTTTCTCTGGAAGCTCCCAACTCTGCACTAGGAAATGCCCATCAGTTTCTGGCACTTCATGGTTCTTCCCTCTCAGTACCTGTCACAGGAAAGTGACTATCACACAGTTGATGCCACTATTTTAGTTAAGAGGATGCTTATTTTGCTTGGTGCCTTTTAAAAAAATAAACATTTAAAAGTTGGCTCAAATACAGTGATCAAAGAACAATGAATTAATAAAAATGCTTACATTTCAGTTATTGGCCGTCCCTCTGTCAAGCTAACCATCTAACTATCCTACAGCTTCTGGGCACGTTGTTTGCGCTCTCTAGATCTGTCTTCTCGGGCAGACAAAAAAAGGGGAAGAGATCCCTCAGTGTGGTCCACGAGGTCCCTTCTGTCTGCACGTGTCCCACAGTCTCAAGGGTGGAGACCATGCCAAGTCACAGTGGGTCTGTGGCCTGGTCTGGGTCTTTTAAGTTGGAGGGACCCTCCACAACCAGGGAATCTGGCACTGGCATCTCCTTCTGTCTCTCTACCTGTTGTCTCACCACCAGCTGGTCTGATGAATGTAGCCACGTCCACGCAGAGCCACAGGCCACAGAAGGCAGGAATCCTGCTGGTTCCTATGGACACAGGGGCTTAGTAAAGAGCTGCCACCGCCCCAACACTGAACCTGCTTGGTCTGGGGCCCCCATATAAAACTTATATAGCGATACAGACACAGACCGGAAAATGGAAAAGTCTGGCAGCTGAGCAGTCCGCAGAACAAGGAAAAAACAGCTTTGCTTTGCTTGGCCCATGGTTTCAATATCTTGTAGTTGGTTTTTTATTTCTTGGAAACAATCAACTTTTCATTGTTGTTTGCCTTCTATGTCTTCTCTTTTAACTATTACAGAGTTTTCCTCTCTGTCTCTCCACTCTTTCCCATGGTTTTGACCTTCATTTTTCTGAATTCTATTCCTTTAACACTCCAAGATGGGTCTGAGATAATCATAGCAAATGTTTATACAGCATGATGTGCCAGTTTCTATACAAAGTGCTTCCCATATGCCAATTTTTTTTTTTCCTGGCACGTGCCACCATGCTCAGCTATTTTTTCTTTGTTTTTGGTTTTGTAGAGATTAGGTCTTGCTATGTGGCCCAGGCTGGCCTTGAACTCCTGGGCTCAAGCAAGCCTCTGGCCTCAGCCTCCAAAAGTGCTGGGATTATAGGCGTGAGTCTCTGTGCCCAGGCTCATTTACTGATTTTTCTAATCCTCATTCCAAGTAAATGAGGCGGTGCTATCTCCATTTTACAAACGTGTTTACTGAGGCACAGAGAAGTTAAGTAGCTTGCACAAGGTTATACAGTGGCAGAGCTAGGATTTGAGCCCCAGCAGTCTGGCTGAGAAACACATGCCCTTAGTCACTACAGTGTGTTGTCTTTTCATCT